TTTTTTTTTTGTAATGGATTCGATACCGATAATACTTTAGGGTATAATTTCTATTAAATTTGTGTCATCAACATTCTTTTAACTTATAATTATTATTATTATTGTTATTTTCATTTTTTTAATGAAAAAATTTACAGGAAATTTTCATCTTTTTAAATTTTTATGAAAGTTTTCAGTTAAAAAAAATTAAAATTATGTAACAACAACAACAACAACCGTTCCAATTTTTAAGCAAACACACACAGACCACAAAAAAATAATAATAATAATAAATAAATGTTTTTTGGAATTTTATTAATGCCTCAGGGGGGGGGGGTGATTATTTATCATTATGGGTACGTGGGTAAATTTGAAGGTATGCCAACATTACGGTTACGAAATACAAATTGGAAATTTTGATCGTACAAAAAAGATAGAAAAAATGTATTAAAAAGTTTATAACTGACACGGTTTACTTATTTATTTGTATTGATTTCCGGTTAAGAATGAATTCCTTTTTTTTGGCGGGAAATATTTTGTTTAGGAATCAGTCACGTGATTACAATGTGGAAAATTTTTTTAAATAAATAAATTGTGGTCAATTTTTAGTATCGAAACATTGGAAAACTTATTATTATTATTATTATAACCGTAATAAAAAACAAAGGTCAAATGAAACTTTTTATACCTAGTTTTTTACCTTGTACCTCTTTTTATTTTAATAATTAAAATTTATTTAAATTCCCTCCCTCCTCCTTCTCTTCCCTCTTGTGAATATGAAATTTTTGTTTTTAATTTAAGTATATAATTTTTTTTTTATAAAAAATCTTTTTTTAATACAATTAAAATAATTAATTTTTTTGAAAAAGGTCAATTGGTTGTGTGACCTTCGAAAAAAAGTACTCGAATCATTTCAATTGAATAAAAAAAAAAAAAAAATCAATTTTTTTTTTTTTTTGTTAATGGAAACTAATCTGACACAATAAAATTGATTGTGAGTGAGATTGATTAAATGATTTCTTTTTTTTTTTTTTTATAGATAAAACAATTAAAATATTTAAAAATTTTTTTTTTTTTAATAAAAGATAATATCGTACTTTATTAACTGCCAAAGAAAAGGAAAACAAAACCGCGCACGCACACACACATCAACGTATGTTATGATTAAAATATGATGGCGTCCATTTTTGTCAATAACATACACACGACGTGTTACATTTAAAAAAAAAAAAAAAAACGTTCGATTTGTCTTTAAAAAAAAAAAAAAAAAAAATCGTTATTGTTTATAAAAAAAGAAAAAATTTTCCGATACATACATTTTCCATAAATACATATGTTTGTTGTTTGTCGTAAATACCAAACGTTGTTATAACAAAAAAAAAAAAAAAAAAATATTTTAAATACACTTACAGATAAATTATTATTATTAATAACAAAAAAAATTATTTATGAGAATAGACACGAGAAATAAATAAATAAATAAATAATAATGATTTTGGTGCGAATTACACAAATACTTGTATAAAACTAAAACGCGAATTAAAATTGATTGAAAAAGTACTTGAGAAACCACGCGGTGATTATACTATCTGCAAAATGATGTAAATAATAATAAACAGTGGCGGTCCTTAAAACTCAGCCACCTGTTTTATCAGCAACAGGTATAATATGCATGCCACCAGGTGAGGGAAAAACGTAATAATAATAATAATAATAATAATAATAATACTAAGGATCGTGTGTAAAAGGTAACTGATAATATTATTATTTTTTTGTTGAGAGAGGCACAGGACCTACCTTAAACAAAGAATTTTTCATTTTTCATTTTTTTTTTTCTTTCGACCTTGAAATTTGTTTTTTAATTGACCTTTAAAACCAAACCTGAATTTTTAATAAAAAAAAAAAAAAAAATTTATATACATTATAAAAAAAATTTGTTTTTTTTTTTTTTTTTTTTTTTTTCCTGGCCTTTTTTTTTGTTGGTTGGTTAAATTTACCAATAAAAAAAAAAAACCCCCCCCCCCTTCCCCCCCCCCCGAAAAAAAGGAAAAAAACTTTTACAATGATAATAAAATTAATATAATAATTAATAATTGTTTATATATATATAAAATTATTATTATTACGATTCGATTCAATTTGTTTACATGTTATAAACTCAAAAAGGTTAATTTAATTATACAATAATAATAATAGGTAAGAAAAACATTCACTGAGCCGATAAATTTAAAACACAATTAAATATTTAATTTAAAACAAACCAAAAGATGAACGCGAACATAACTTGAACACAAATATATTTATATGTATTCAGAATTTGTCCAGAATTTTTACATGTGTAATCACTTGTTTACCTTCTTTATAAAAAAAAAAAAATTGTTTGTTTGTAAACAAAACAATAGAATAAATAAATTTTTATTAAAAATTTTTCTTTCTATTATTATTATTATTATTATTATTATTTAAAAAAAGTTATGTAAACATATACAGACGGGGGATATTAATAAAAATTGTTGTTGTTAATAATAATTCGGCCCTATTAAATTTATTTTTTATTTTTTAAAAAGGAAATAATCGATGAAAAAAAATTGATTGATTGATAATAATAATAATAATAATCTTAACGATTATAATTGTAAAAATTTTTTAATTGATAAATTAATAATTTCAGTGACTTAATAATAATTATTTAAGATAATTTTTTTTTGACCGAATTAATTTAATAAATTAATAATATTTTTCCCGCCTTTTTTTTTTTTTAAATAATTTTTTATTTTATAAAATTGAGCAAAAATGTTTTTTAATTAAAAAAAAAAATATATCCTTTGTAAAAATTATTAATTTAGTTTGTTTGTTTTAAATATATATTTAAATTATAAGAAGAAATCGTCTGATATGATAAAAAATAATATATAAATAATAATAATAATAATTTTTATTATTTCAATATATATATATATATATGTATATTTTAAAGCGGTAAAAATTTTTGTTTCATTTTTTTTTTTTTTTTAAATGAAAATATCCTTACAAAAAAAATTTACGTAGTTTTTATTTTACAATAAAATACTTTTACTGTAATTATTATATATATATATATATATATATATATATATATATATATATATATTCTGATTGTGTATTCACTTATGGCACCACTTTTATATTATCATTATGTTTTTTTTTTTTTTTTTTTTTTGACTAGAATTAATAAAAAAAAGCAAAGAGTGATTTTAAATTTCAAATTTTTTTTATCAGACTAAATTCGATTCAATATCACTCGGTGGACTAGTCCTTTTAGAAAATTCTGTTGATCTATCATTTGTTCCTGTCGATGTAAGTTTATTATACGATGAAGTTTGAGAAGGGTAAAACGACTCTTTTGAAGGTGAAGGTGAAATAATATTTTGACTTATTCCGTAAGGTCTTATGTGATAAATAAGGTATTCCAAAAGGTACATTTCATTCGGACTTATGTAATGAAACGATACCGATGTGTCGGAACAACATTCGAAACCCTAAAATAAATAAAAGAAGAAGAATTAACATTTTGACAGAAGAAGAAGACAAAAAAAGAAAACTCTTACTTCTTTCATGGGATAATAAGTGTATTGCCAAAACCAATTTGTTTTGGGTAATGCTTTGGGTACTAAATAATAAACCGGTGGTAAAGGCAAAAACCTGTGTCGACCATAGGAATCTCTTGTGTCTATCGCAGAAACTCCAACGGCTTCCAAACATTTACCTATTTCGACATCTTCGGCACCTTCCCCATCCTAAAATAATTCACTCGATAAAACAATATTTAACAACGTAAACAAACAAACAATAATGATTAAGTACTTACTTGCCGACATTTTGAACTTGGTAAAGCTTCTTCCACGAAAGCTTTGACGGCTTCTTTACTGAGTACATAACCGGCTCCGCCGCTCATGTACCCATTTTTCGTATACGGTTTGAAACGACATCCCATATATAATTTTTCAGATGAATTGTGCTGGGAAAGGACGAGCCTTAAATTTTCGACTATAACATACCTGGAGCAAAAATTAAAAGTGAAAAATTTTCATTAATGACAACAAAACACACATTTCTCGATTCAATTCAATTACACTGCAAAATGTCACCAAAAAAATTTCATGCAAATAATTTTCCACCCCCCTTCCTCTCGAAATTAAATATATATATATATATATGTATAGTGTATTCTCAGATAAATTCATGAATTTTAAGAGTAAAACCCTCCACCCTTATTTTAAGGAAATGAAATTTAAAAGACGACGACTTACGTATCATCATCAGCCTTTAGCACCCAGTCCACCCGATCCATGTAGTGCTGATAAACATACTTGAAAGCTTCCTTCGTTTTTGCCCAAAGGGCATTTCGACCTTCTTTCACCTTAAGCCTAACCGCAGGAAGCCTATAATCTAGTAATTAGTAGTACCCAATTAGTGCATATGCCAAAAAAAAAAAAAAAAAACTAAAAAATTGCAACCACCACACATTAAAAACTAAAAAAATTTGACATGCAAGGGTGAATATTTTATTTAAGACTCTACAAACACATCAATTATTATTATCATTATCATTATTTGTAATAAATTAAATTATATATATTGTTATCATCAAGGGAATAATGATATGTTTCATTTCTTTCTTTTTTTTTTCCATTTCAAAAAAATTAGAGACAAAAGTTTTTTATTTGTTTTTAAATAATTGAAGTTGCAATGGCGTTTAAATATGGGGGAGATATCATGTTTTGGTTAATGAAACGTTTTCCATCGCAAGCTTCCGAACCATTGCAAAAAGCTACTTTTTTTTTTTTTTTTTAAATTGAGATAAAACAACCGAAACAACCAAAACAACCAACCAACCTGCTTCAGTGCTCATAAAAATTAAATAATTACATCTTCTACCCCATGTATTTTTAACGTGTTTAGCTTTTTTCTCATGGGAAGCCGGTTGTGTCATAATCCAACAAAGAAGTTTAACTTTTTCCGATAATTGTTTTGCCAAATAATTTTCTGTTTCGTGACCGACGTGATTGGCGACAACATCATTCGACGAACCATCATCTCTCGAAAGTGGAATTTGTTGCAAATAAGATTTAAAATTTTCTCTAGAGGGAGGGGAAAAAAAAAAAAAACTATTATTTAAAAAGAGCGAGAAAGAGAGAGAGAGAGAGAGATAGAAAGGAAAACTTACACTGGTAAAGTCCATGTAATATAATTATTGGAAGTATAAAAAAGTATATAAGCAAAACTGAATCCAAAAATAACCCCCGTAAGTAATGTAAAGACGCTGGAGCGCTTTATGCTCACTTTAGCCCGCATCAACACTGAAAACAAAAACAAAACAAAAAAACTTTTTTTTTTTTTTTTTTGTTTATCGTGCTTTCTTTAACAAATAAATATTATTATTATTATTGTTTATAACGTGCATTGCTTTAAACAATAAGAACGTACTCGTGTTAAAATTTTTCCTAACAAAAGCTTTTTTTTTTAAATAAAATATGAAAAAATTTATTTCCATTGTTTTAAAAAAAAAAAAATGTATGGATAATAAACATTTAATACAGTATTAATGCAAAAATCCATAAAATGCAATAAATATAATAAAGTAAACAAAAAAAAAAAAATCAAATATTAACAAAGCCTAACTGACAAAAGACAATTTTTTTTTTTTTTAATATCTTAAATACAAATTAATAATAATAATAATAATAAAAACAGTAAAATTTATGATTTTATTTAAAGCAGATGCTACAAAAAAAAAAAAAAAAAAAATTCCAAAATGTCATTTTTTTTTTTTTTTTTTATGAACAAAACCATATTGGTAATTAAACATATTTTCTACCTAAAAAAAAAAAAAATTTTTTATCTTAAAATCTAAGATACAAAAAATAATAATAATAATAATAATAATAATAATAATACAAACGACAAACTTATACACACACACACACACAAACTCATTTGAAAATTTTCAAAGTTAAAATAATTATTATTATTATCGTTATGATTGTTAGTAAATATTTACTAATATAATAATGAGGAGGTAATTTTTTTTAAACTTTCATTAGTTACTTACACAATAATAATAATAATTATTATTACTTTATTTATTTTATTTATTATTTAATGAAAAGAAAAAATTAAAATTAAATGGGAAAAAAATTTTCCAGTTGATTTTCCCAAACAAAAAAAAAAAAAAAAATGATAAACTTACTTAAATATAAATATCATATCATAACATTTAATTAAATAAATAATAATTAATAATAATAATAATAATAATAATTAAACGAATAAAACACAAACACAAAAAATAATTAATTTTTTTTTAAAAACAACTACAAACAACAACAACAACAACAATAATTTGTTACAGCTGCATGTGGAATGAAAGATCCATTGGGAGATGATGGTGGAAGATGAATTTTTTTTTTTTAAAGAACATAATAATACAATTGAAAACAAATGAGAATAAAAAGGACTTACAACAAATTTCTCTTTCTAACAATATTAAAAATAATTAAAATGTATTTAATCTCATTTTATATTTTACTAAGTTTTTTTGTTTTTATCAGAAAAAAGATATTCTTAATGTTTTAAAAAGGAAATAAAAAGAGATTAAATATATATACATATTTTCTTTTTATTAATAATGCCTTCTTTAAAAGAAAAAATAAATAAATTTATTAATATGATATGCATATCATATAATTTTTTAATAATTAAAAATCATTTAATAAATTCTTTTTATATCAATAATTGTATCGATATTTAAAGAAAGAAAGAAAGAAAGAAAAAAAATTTGATAAGTAATTTTTAATGACCTCCTAAGGCTGTGAAGACGAATTAAAGCTAATGAAAGAATAAATAATAATTATCGCATAGTAAATAATTCAACATTGAATAATAATATTATTAATTTAATGTTGTTATGAGAGAATTAAGAGAAAAATTTAAAAAAAAAAAACTTACTTTCATTATCTGACATTATTTTTTTTTTGTTGAAAAAATGTTATGTCGAATATAATTATTATTGTAATAAAACTAATTGTAAAATATTAAAACGATTGAGGATTTGTTTTATCATTATGTTCCGAAAATTAAATAGAGCAAACATGTCATTTTTTTTTTTAAATGAGACTAATCCAATAAAATCAACACAATAGAAATTAATTAACACCTAAATGATCTCATTATTGACAATTATTTCTAATTTAAATAATAAAAAGTGTTAGTGTCTGTCTAAAC